GCAATGCTCTGATATTCAGCACTAGACTACTTGAGCTTTTAGAAGAAAACGCTCATGATTCACCTGAGGCGCTTGGCAGATACGGAAAACATGGAATAAGCGTTTGAAGTTCTTAATAGTTTCAATTTGGAAAGCCACTTCGACTTAGACGACTTCCATTGCTGGATTACAATCACATTTCTCATTTATGTATCAGTTTTTAAAAGCTGAAGATTAAGAGTAACTTCAATGCCTACTTACTTTGTTCACTGTAATCATATGATGTAATTTTTGCTAGGCTGCTCGAACTTGGTGCGGATCCGAATGTGGTCGGTGGCCTTCTTGTGTCGTCACCGTTGCACTGGGCTGCACGTGTGGGACACAGCAACAGTGCGGCACTACTTGTCAAAGTATGTAAAGAGTCTTCATTTCTAAGGAAAGGAGACCGGTACGATTTCCTTAGGCTGGTGCTGTCGCGAATGTACGTGACACACAAGGATATGCTCCTATTCATCTAGCAGTACAAACAAACCAGTCTACACTGGTTGCATATCTGCTGGAGAAATTTGACTATTGCAAAGATATAACGGACAATAGTGGTATGTCTACTTCTACTTGCTTTTAAAGAAATTTTGAAACAAAACCTATCAGGAATGACACCAGTCATGTGGGCGGCATATCGTACCTTTGGCATGTTCCCCATCCGCTTATTAGTCAGAGCTGGTGCAAATCTGAATGCTCAGGAGCATCTGTCTGGCAATACTGCGCTCCACATAGCAGCTCAAGAAAGAAATTATTGTTCCGTGAGGTACGAAACCTGAAATAGATTGCTCATATGCCGTGGTGATTTTACAGAGAGTTATTAGCGGGTAACGCGGATCTTCTTCTGCGTAATAAACAGCAAGAGACACCTATGGATATTGCGAGAAACATGAGGAATCACAAGATTATAGGTAAGTTGTTGTTGTGATGATTTTTCATTTGATTCGCTTATAATTTCGTATATAATTCATTCTATACTTTTATATCTTGTCTTCACTCAAAGATCTCCCTATTTTGTTTGTAGGTATGCTGGAAGAAGCAATGGTATCTCGTGGAAAAA